CCTCCAGTTACAGAGACGGCTCCGACAAAAGGAGCAGTGACGGTTCTGCCTCAGCAGAGGCGATGGCGCCCGGACTGGCAGAAGCACGGAAATACTCATTCCCGACCTGACAGGAGTCTAGGAGTGAGTGCGCGAGGTGGTTATAAAAGGCGCTCCACCCCCAAAGAGGAGGTATGCAAAACCTTACGCTATCTGGTTTATCTTGCCTTTGAAAGATCCTAACTTAAGCTTCGGAGCCTTTACACCGGGTTCTCCCTGGAGCTTCTTCGTCTCCTACGTTTCGGGTCCCCGCTACTCGATTCAAGGTCATTGACAGCTAAGACCGGTCGGATTGCGCATCATCAGTTTGGAATAGTAAGAACCATTCTGTCCATTCCCAACCCAATTGGACACAAATTAGAGAACCAAAACCACCATAATTGATTCCACCAATTGACATCTCTATGTTTGGTATTTGGATGACCATCCAAATACAATTTTTTTTTTTTTATTGATTGATTCCATCCGGCTACACAAGGGGTGCTCATCTCTCAAACCCATAATCGATGAAGTTAGGATGTGATCCAAAGTCTCCACTACGACCAGTTAGGGGTGCTCATGATTCGATTAACCCAACTGTGGGCCTATTTTTAAAATTGAATCAATACTATCAATATTTGAAAAACTGGTAACCGATATCAAACCAAAGTTGATCGATTAACCAGTTGACCGGTTCGGTTAATTGTTAGTTTGGTTTGTCAGTTTTTTGGTTTTTATATATTTATAGTATATATTATAAATAAATATATAATAAAAAGCTAGAAATATACATATATAATATTATATTTTAAATAATAATTCGTTCGATTTTTCTTACTCATCCCTACGACCAGCCGTAGAACTTACCAACTGAACCAGGTCGCAACTTCCAATACAGTATCTATCGCATTCTTCCACGGTTGCACCCACACAATTGTCCAACGAGTTACAGATAAGACAAATGTCTAATTCCGGGCCAGTTCCGTCACAGATCCTCTTGAACTGGTCCCGCCCTTGCCAATCTACGGGACTGTCAATTCTGTCCACCATGATATGAAAACAGGGTAACCAAGACCAAGAACCAACAAACCTTGTCTTTGAGAGGTTGAAACGGGGGGGAACAACGAACGAACAACCAGTACAGTTTGATGACTCTCACCTTGTCTCATTTCCGTTGTGGGTGAGTCCTTTTTGCATCAGAGCCTTTGCACTCCACCCCAAGAAAGCTCCACCACTATCACTCTTTTAGGACCCAAAAGAATTCCCCCAAAACAAACAACAGAGCAACAAACTCTGCCAACAGATGCTGTCACCTTTCACTTCAAGTACACAATAATATTTTACTTCCCTTGTGGGCCACCACCTACTTCCTAGCATTCTGCCTCTAATAACGCATCCACCTAGGATCTATAACACTTCGTATCGACTCCCGGTCCAAAGGACAACTCTTCACCTGATCAAGATCAACCTCTTTTGTGACCATTAGATTAGTATCCATCTCTATAACCATTACCATAAGATATTCCAATCTGATGTCCACCAAGAAATCACATTTTAAAATGCAAGGTTAATGATGGGTGTTTCACTTTTTCAGTCATATCAACTTAAAGGCATCATTGTACATTTAGTGACCCATCCAATCCCAGCAGTCCTAACTGCTATAAAGTTTGATCTGCTCTTTCTAGATCAACCCTAATTACAGCCGGTGAATCCTCACAGCTGGCTCACTTTATCAAATCGTCTCCCAGGCCTAGATTCTAATACTTCGGCCAATGAGAATGTAGTTCCATGTAGGTTAGAAGCATATTAGATTTTCCACCTGTGGGTGGTTTCTTCTCCAGTCACCAGTCTTACCGATCCTACGCCAGATGCCAGTGATTCCCGAAATATTACCCGAAACGATCCACCGTACAAAGCGACGGGGTCCCACAAAAGCGATATTGAAAACGGAGGAGCACTGGCCACGTACGCATCGTACTCACTGGTCGGCGGCTGCATGCAGACGTGGTCGGCTACGCCGGCTCCCTCCTCCGCCAGACTGCCACCTCCGGGTCACGCTCCCCGACATTGGTTTGTAGGTTCACTCCCCCCAGGCCCCATCTCTGATCTCCCTCCCCGCCCTTATCGTCCCACCCATCTTCTAATCACATCTCACGATCCTCACCGTTCATTTGTCTTACGTGTTTTGCGTTGATTAAAATGCGTTCGACGTTTAAACCAACCTGTTTCTTCTGTTGTCTTCCAGTCCCAGGTCCCAACAACACACCAACAGCTTCGTCCCTTTACGAGAAATGCAACCCCCCCCCCCCACGACAGGTCGCAAAAGACCAAAACACCCTTCTATATCTTTTATCAAATTTGACCAATTTTAAGTGTAATATAAGGAACCACAACGGCTTAATTTGGTCAATTAGCAAAAATGGTGGCAGCCTTGTAAATAACCTGATCATCTTTCTGCCTTTTTTAGCTTATTTATATATAAATAGAAGGCTCAGAGCTCGGCAGTTACGTTGTCTCTTCCACTTCCTTAATGTCTGGTTTTTATCTCTTTCTCTGGTTCGAGATCTTCGCATACTGATTTTCTCCATTTAGGAAAAAGCTCACTACTGTCTCTAATGGCTGTTTCTTCTCGTATAACCCTTTATGTTTTATTCTTTCTTGTCTTCTTAGCACAGAACATTGTTTCTCAACGTCCATCGGCTTTAAGCTCCGACGAGCAGGAATCGGTCTACGAAGTACTTGAGGCGATTAACTCCGCGGTTCAGTGGCGATACGTCTTCCCCGAAGACCTCTGCAGCTCGGCTCCACATGGCGTCGTCTGCGAATATTTCACCGACGAAAACGGTAATGAAACAGCGCACATTACAGAGCTCAGCTTTGGTTACGTCTCGGATTACTCTTCTAACCCTCCTTGTAGTTCTAATTCCACGTTTAGCCCTCGGCTCGCTTCCTTCACCCACCTTCGCAAGCTATTCTTCTACAAGTGCTTCACTGAAATGCAGGTTTCGCTTCCTGGGTTTCTAGCGAACTTGAGTTCTAGCTTGGAAGAACTCGTGTTAATCGAGAACCCATCTCTGGTCGGGGCTCTCGGTGGCATACTCGGCAACTTCACCCGGCTGAAGAAGTTAGTTCTGACTGGAAGCAACGTTTCTGGGGAAATTCCGGATGAGATTGGGGACTTGCTCGATCTCGAACAGATTACAATCACAAGAAACCGCCTAAACGGTAGAGTTCCGCGGAGTATAAGGAAATTGCAAAAACTGAGAGTGCTCGACCTCAGCTACAATGGGTTTGAAGGGAACCTCCCGGATTCAATCGGGAAGTTGACAGAGCTTCTGAAACTTGATCTGGGTTCGAATTTCTTCGGTGGGAGAATCCCAGAATCTCTTGTGGGTTTGTATAAACTAGAGTTCTTAGACCTGAGTTACAACCGTTTCGGTAACTTCGGGGTTCCGCTATTTTTAGCAGAAATGCCCTGCTTGAGAGAGGTGTACTTGAGTGGCAACCAACTGGGAGGGCAGATCCCGGAAATATGGGAGAAGCTCGGGGGTATTATGGGGCTAGGACTATCAGAGATGGGACTGGTTGGTGAAATTCCTGCTTCAATGGGGGTATTCTTGAGAAACATCTGTTACCTAGGGCTTGCCAACAACAAACTTGAAGGGACGGTGCCGGAGGAGTTCGCATTGTTGGAGTTTGTGAACGAGTTGAGTTTGGAGAACAATCAGCTGAGTGGGAGACTTCCATTCTCAGCCAAATTTTCGGCTAAAATTGGAGGAAAGCTTAAATTAGCAGGAAACCCTAATCTTTGTGTTGATGATAAAAATAGCAGTGGTTTTGAGAACTTGAAGCTGAAGGTGTGCAACGACAACAAGCCCACCATTCCCAACCCTGCCCTCTTCTCAGGGTGCTCCTCGTTGAGGCTCTCTTCATATTTTTTGAGGTTGTTAGGGGTAGTGTTTGTCTTATTCCTCTAAGAGGACGTACGAGACGCTGAAATGTCATAGAAATTTGTTAATATCTGCTTTTCTCCATCACATATATATGTGTTTAAGATGAAAATATGATTTTATTCGGTTCAGTTGAATTTCAATGTGGAATTATCAATTGTTGTTGATACTTCTGAATTCTGAACCCAACCGGATTGGGTTGGGTTGATGTATTGGTCTATCTATCTTAGGTTTTGAACCCAATTTAAATTTACCATTTGTACTTGTGTTGACTGACTTGTGGCCTTATGGGTAGGTAAGGTTCTAATGTGAACCTAACCTGACGAACCCGCGTTTGAAAATTTGCGGTTCAAAGTTGGTTTAGGGTGCACCTGGTCCCGATTTTCACAATCACACACCACTACTAAGCAGAAGCACATAGTGGGCCTGGCTTCTCGTTAGGCCTTTGGCCTCAGGTGAATTGGGGCCCACAGATTCAATTAAACCCTATTAGTCTATTACCCTAGAACAAAATCTGAATAAAGAAATTATTTGAACCACTTGAATCCTCCTTAATCAGTTGCATTTCAACAAATATTATAATCAAAGAAATGGACTAATTGGATCGTCCATATAAGAAGTGAGATATTAAATAATACATGGGTATTGGGTTTGAATTAATTACAGGAATTTAGACATATGTGCTTATATATGCTCCATGAGAGGAGAGGAGAGGACTGAGGAGGACCTCTCAGTTTCAGCTAAGCAAATTAGCAGCTAAAAGTACTAGGTGCCCCCTTTGGGAGGGCTGACTTTCTCAGGTGGATCATCTCAATTCCCAAATCCCAAATCCCAATCCCATACGGACAGCCAGCCTATTACTTAACTATTTTTGAGAGCCCAAATTGGCTGTCCTGTCAGTCAGTCAGTCATTTAAAAGGGCTATCCGCTACAGCCTCTTATAAAAAATAGTAGCTTATCCGCAGTGCTTCAATTCAAAGCAGCTCAATCATCATCAGCTCACTCAGCACTCCCAAAGGTGAAGCCTGAAGGGGCCCTAGATCCTGGAACAAAAAAGAATAATTAATAAATGCTTTCCCCAGACCAGACGAGGGGAAATTCCAATGAAGTTCTCCATCCATCATGTCCCTTCCTGTGCACTTGGCTTTGGGACTGAAGTTGGAGATAGGTCAGTGCACTCCAATTGGGACCCGGCTACAGGCTCGAGGTCGTCTATGCAGGAATTAGCTACCGGAAGTTTTGATTCCCCGCCACCAGTAGAGCCCTTGGGCTTCTTACGGTGAGACTTCTTTGGGGCATTGGGGTCTTGTGTGAAAGGCTCCCCACTGGCTTTAGAATTCTTCTGTCGCCTTGTTGGTTTGGTGCTTTCCGATAAATCCGGTGTAGAAGAGCTGGTTGAGACACCGGCACCGCCGGACTGCTGCTTTACTCCAGCCTTCGAACCTACCAAACAAAACACAATTTATTGGTGTCTTCTACATAATTTATTATTCATTTGCCCTAATTCGAATTCATTTGTGTTGAGAGACTCTTATAATTGGATCAAATATAGATTCACCCCTGCCCAATTCCATTGATTTGAATTAGGGGTGCAACTCAGGCGGATTGGGTTGGGTTAAGGGTCATCCTAGGCTTAACAAATAAGAGGGGAAAGTTGGTCAGTAGGAAAGTGATTTCCATTGAACAACTTTATCATATTTATTTTTTTATAAGTTGTGGGTTTCTATGACAAATTTAATTTCCGTTGGTAAGTGATAGATACCCATTTCTTAGGTGGATAAATAATTTTTTCATCCCGAAAAAAATTTATAAAACATAATATGATAAGTTTGTCCATTCTAACATTAATTTTTTATGGGTAAAAAAATTATTATACAACTTGAAAAACAAAAGAATATGGATAAAGTAAACTTAATGGGTAAGTGTACCCGGGTAAGTGGCCTTTCGAATAACAACGGGGCACAAGATGCAAATTTCAAGTTCGGACTTGTTTCAATCTAAAGTCAAGTCTGAATTTTATCCATCCTGGTTGTACCTAAACTTAACCCAGCAGACTCATGCCGGGCTCAGGCATGAGTCAGGTCAGGCTAAGTTTAGTTGGACTTGGGTTGGGTTAGCCATTTTTATTAGGCATTATATTGTCTTATTTAAGAATAGAATATAATTGAAAACATATACAAATTCTATTAATAATTATACATATATATATATATGTATGTATGTATGTATGTATGTATGTATGTATGTATGTTTGAGTGGGTCGAGTTTGTGCTACTCCTTGAAGCCTCAATCCAAGCCCAACCCAAGTCAGGTCTGAGCTTTCTGGCCTAGGACAATTCCAAGCCTGAAAAGTCAAGCATATCAATACTTTGAGATTCCGGACCTCCTGCCTATAAGAACTCTACCCACAACATACTACTCATGCATTGGGAACATCTCCCCGTGTATAATACTATGTAGGACAATGAGATGTTCTCTATGTATGGTTGCAATGTTATGTGGGTAGACGTTGTGGGCAGGAGATCCGAGCTCATACTTTGAACTATGAATTAATATACAATATTTTGATTATTTTTAATTTAATTTATCCTTCTCCAATTATACCTGACGGTGCTGAAGTCTGGGATGGGCCATCCCAACCTATGTGGGCGACATGCTTCACGTCTGTGGGATTGCCAATCTGCAATTCTTGCTCCTTACAATTCCCAGTTTCTGCCATAAATGCAAAATGCAGAGCTCTAAAATCAATTCTCTTTTAATCCTTAAGGCCAAAGACATGAGAAGGGACCATTATACTTTTACGATACGTACCGAAGATTTGTGTAATGTATCTCAGACCTTTAAGAACGCCTTTAATCTTGTTGGGCATCATTTTGCTCGAAAGACTGGCGTAGCTCTTGGGCCAAAGAGTGTCCACCTGAGAAGATTGTTGTTGTTGACACAATAATTCTCAACTTTAAATTCAAACGAAGGAAGCGAGAAACGAGGCCAATCTACAGAGAACTAGACATTTTCTCTATTGATAAACAATCAAATTCAATTGAAAACCACGACTATCGAAGAAGAAGAAGAAGAAGGTCCTGACCGGAGCAACAATGATGAATCTATGTCATAGTTTCCGGCCGTCCACTCATGGTTGGACTCAACAAACATATTTTCATCTCTTTTGAATTTTCTTGACCAGAAAAGAAAATGAAGTATATAGGAAGAAAGAAGTTCAAGAAAGAAAAGATTCAAGTTGGAATTTAGGTTGCATTTGGCATTCCTTATTTTAAGGATTTATTTCTTTTTTTGTGAAATTTTAACCATAAAAAAGAAATAAGTCCCTAAAATAAGAGATGCCAAATGCAAACACGGTTTCATCTCATCTCTTTTGAATTTTCTTGACCAAAAAAGAAAATGAAATATAAAGAAAGAGAGAAGTTCAAGAAAGAAAAGACTCAAATTGGAACTTAAATGATTTAACCTGTATTTGGTATTCCTAATTTTGAGGACTTGTCTCCTTTTTGTTGTTAAAATGCCCTTATAAACACTAAAGTTTTAACTATACAAAGAAGATAAATTCTTAAAATAAGGAATGCCAAATGCAGCCTTAATCTAGTCCATCAAGAAGAAAGAGGATGAAGGAAATTCATAAATCCACTATTATGCATAAGCTGTAGATGGATATTCTTCAAGGGTGACAAGTTGTTTGTTGGCATCACCTGTAAATCAAAACCAGTACCCAACCAAATTCTCGGGACCGGAGTAAGCACGTTCAATGAATACTTGATAAATATTCTGACAACTGTCAAAAGTTGTTTGTAATCTTTTTCAAGGGGGGAAATCTATGATGCGGAAAAGATATGGTATGGAAAGAGTTTTGACCAATCAAAATCCACCTATGAATTTTGATAAATAACACCTTATATACTATCACCATTATGATTCCAATTTATTGATTTGTTATTTTTCGGATATCATAACTTTTCCATATCATAGTTGAACCCTTTCAAGGGTAGGTTGGGGGTATTTTAAGGGACCAGTGTCAAAAAAATTTTCAAGTGTTCATCGAACATGCTTACAACTTTGTGCCTACCTGATCTGAACTGAACTTTTGACACTTGTCAAAATATTTATCAAGTGCCCATTGAATGTGCTACTATATTGTGCCTACTAGATCCGGTCCCATTCAACACCCACCCCCATGTACTCCCAACAAATGGATGCCATGCAATTCTTGCCAACAAAGCCACATATCATACATGCAAAGGGTGTAAACACATTGAATGAGCACTTACAAAATTTTTTAACACATGTTCCTTAAAATGCCCCCAATCTATACTTGAAGAAGATTAAAAACCACTTTTGACAGTTATCAAGTGTTCATTGAATGTATTTCCTATATTGTGCCTACCAGATCCGGTAAATCTCGGTTAGCTACAACCACCAAACAATATTGTTAATGATGGCCATAAACTTTATTGTGCTATAAAAACTAGAGATGATCAAGATTAATTTCTTGACCATCACACATAGAAACAAAAAAGAGGTAGACCATTTCGTTGTGCACTGAATGAGAATCAGCAAAATCTCTTAATAGTGGTAGATTTGTGATGAGTTTATTCTTTGCTTGTTGGATACACCACTGGCACTGAGCCACCCTCAAGCACCCATTAAGGTACGCTATCATCTATTGCTCTTCTTATTATTATTTGAGTATCCTCATTTTCTTTTATGGTTTAACTTTGATGTTTTAAGTATTTTATCCCTGCTAAACCAGAGCTTAATGACTAAAAGACACCCTGATAGCATAGAGACTAGCGAGGCAACCCACCCCGAATCTAATTTAAAATCATATAAACAATTCATTTAACATTTTCAACTAGTTGTTGACTTGATGGATTTTGTGGATCCCTCCTTTACTTGGATAAATGGATATATAGTATGGGCCATTCAAATTTCAAAGCGACTCATTCAAAGTCTTAAGACAGACTTGACCAAACATTTGTTATTATTTCTAACTGGCGTCAAATCCATCCACAGTCAATCCTCTATCATTTGCCCATCATATCATCATGTGATTATGGACCCGTAAACTGGTCGCTCACCCACTTTCAATTCCATCTTCAACCCTTGTGGTCAGAACACCCGAATTGTAATTCTTGGAATTCACACA